GCTCCTGCTCTGCGAACAGGAAGATGGAGCCGTCTGCGCCAGTACTGTTCATTCCTCATTAGCCGTGAAAACATTGTTTGAGACGAGCACATACCCAAAGCTAGACTTGGTGTTGGAAAAGCCGATAGCGTCGTGGAAGGCAACACGGAGCTATTGAATGATCAGCTTCCGCAGGACGGAGGGGAAAGGGAATGTATACAGCAGCGTGAGCAGCATCACCGCAGGTGTCACCCGCAAACATGTCGTTCTGGATGTCCTGCAGAACGGGGAACAGGGCGCAGCAGGCCGCGTTCTTGACCGTCTGTCCTGTAGCGCAGGTCGCGCGAGGCTCAACAGCAGCTAATGAACCGTCGTCAACTCGAGTTCAACTGGCGCTGGGGGAGAACCTACCGCCGTAAACGGACGCGGTAGCAGCGAGGAGGAGGAATCCGGTAGAGAGCATGTTTAATGCAAGGCAGAAGACAGAGGAGGAGGTGAGCTGAAGCCTGGGGATGTGGCTCAGACAACGCCTCGCCTTTATACATTTACAACTTTATGTGCCTGAGAAATTCCATTATCGAGGGCTGGGAAAGCGTACCGAAGAATTGTGTTGAAAAACAAGCTCGGTCGGACAGGCGTGTCCGCCCGGAAGGCCAAGCGAAAGCCCTGAAATCCGGTACGGGACCGGCCCAACGGTGTACCAGTCAGAGCATCCCAGTTACCATCACGATTTCGAGAAAGAAGAATAAAATGGCTGCATGGACATTGGCTTCGGTGATAGATATCGGGTACCCCGCTGCCGGTGCTTCCCATTGATTCCGACCGTGGGTAGAATCAGTCCAGAAATTTTGCACCCGCCCAAGCCCTTGGTAAGTGTACGGAACGCAGTTGGAAAAGGGTGGCGTCTCAGAAAGTCGTGATTCCCGCCGCAAAAGCGCTCGAAAAAATCCCAGCGACTGTTGCAAGGGGCGAGCTGAAAAGAAACAGGAGTTGCTGTAATCTTTCTTGGCGCGAGAAAAAACGTTGCGTCTGATGCACGGCACCGAATTCCATGCTGTGATGGTTTGCGGAAGCTCTGTTACCGGAGATGGACCGAGCGCTACCGAGCCAGTGGACAGGACCGGACGCTCAAGTGGAGCTGGATAGATTGCGGTGGAAAAATCATCGCGGGCAGAGGCAGAGTCGTCGAGTATGTGTGTGAGATGCCAAGCCGTAGGGTATTGTCCAAGCCCAGCCGGAAGATAACAGGATACGATGAATGCCAATGCGGTCGAATTGAAGGGAACGGGACAAGATCCTCATCACGGACGAATCGGCGTCTGCCTTTCTCTGAGTGGTAAAACGAGCAAGTCTCACCAACCTATTCGGCTTGATTCGGCAGACGAAACGTGCCAGGAATCACCGGTTTGAACCACACAAGGCTGGTTTTTGCTTTGCTGAAATTGCTGAGGTAGCGTAGACGAAAGGCGACTCGAGAAGGTGGTGGCAGGAAGCAAGGGGAGCATTTTCTTGGCGTACTCCACAGAAGCAAATTGATGCGTTGGCCAAGCCTCGGAGTATTGCTGTCATGTGTCATGAAGCTAGCACCACACACGTCCATACTGATAATGAGATTTGGAATTGCGCAACTGCCAACAGGCCTAGCTTTGGCAATCCTCGAGCAAATGCAATCCTGCTATTACCTTATGCAACTTGAACTTGTCAAACATGGTGTCTATTGTCCGTGCCAATCGACTCGTGCAGCGTGCCTTCATGTCGTTCCTAACCCGCGCTGTTCATACTTAGCAGGACTTTTTCAGTTGAATTGATCGCATCAGATGACATGTGCAACCTTTCTGCCAGTGCCACTGTACCAGCAAATGAGGCTTGAGCGAAGCAGGCGCGACGGACCAAGACGGTGATGTCTAAGCGAACTTCAACTTGCCTGTCCGCGTCCTGCAAAACCAAATGTCGCGTCCAGGATTGGTTCGGACCATCCCGAATGGGCAGAAGCTCAACGTATAGCCGACGGCATTGGCAGATGTGCATGTGCAGAGACAGCTTCGAATTCTTTTGGCGAATCTCAATCCGCAATCATTTTGAACGTAATACCGATCTGCCGCTTCGGCTTGGTTGGGATCCGTGGGTTAGCCGAGCGATTGCTGCCTTTGATGCACTGATCGACAATCATCTTGCCTCCTGCCTTCATCACCTCTAGCCGCAATACACAGACTAGCTGTGCTCTCCGTGGTCGGCGCCATACCCGAACTAGAGCCATGGTGGCGTGGCTCAGCCCGACTCCCTGTGCAAAGAGTCCACCATTCGAATTCGAGCGTTGAAGACGAGTCATGGAAATGTGATCCGTCTTGTTTCATTGGCGTGTCTTCTTGCGCTACCATTCTTGCTGCTCGGTTCAAATGCCAAAAACTCAATAGAAAGCAGGCGCCACACGCCAGCTACGCAGGGCTGGCAATACTACTCCTATGCGGCCGCACTAGCTTGCTGGCACTTTTTACTTAAATCGCTCACTCCCAACGGATATCCCACCCGCTTTTTCCCATGGAAGCGCCTTCACTACAAAACATTGCTCTGGCGGGCATCGTCCTCATACTGGGTACATTCTTCGTAAAACGCCGCACAGGCCCTCCCCTGCCTCCGGGTCCGCGCGGTCTGCCTCTCCTCGGAAACATCCTGCAGATCCCCAAAACGGCAAGTCGTTTTGAGCTACCTTCTACCATTCCATCGCAGCTCACCGTGAAAAAAAAAACCCAGCACCTGTCGACATACTTCAGGCAGCTATGCGAAGAGTACGGCGGCTTCGTATCGCTCAATCTCGTCGGTTTCGTGAGTATTAAGCCTGTCCAACGATTGAATCGGCTTGCTTGACGGAGAGCAGCCTATTGTCCTCATCGGCAACATGAAACTTGCGAAAGAGATTCTCGAAAAACGATCAGCGCACTTTTCCGCGCGTCCACTCGTCCCCTACTCCGTACGTGTCTCCACGTCGTCTCTGCACCTCTGACACTGCTACAGCTCCACTACGACCCAGCCCAGATGTACTGGATCGCCGTCTCTGGCCAAACTCACTTCATCGCACGCAAACTCTCGGCGGGTATCATGTCCGGTGTGCGCGCCGGCGAGACGGAACTTCTCCAGCAATTCGAGGCTCTCATCAGCGTGAAGCGGCTCCTCGAAAATCGAGGGGAGCACTGGTTTCACGAAATGGAGCGGACAGCGGCGAGTATGGTCCTAACTGCTACATTTGGGCAGCACTGTCCGACTGGGGATGAGCCTGAGCTCAAGGAGGTCGTTGCCGTCCGTGCATCCGAGTCAATCCGGGAGGCATTCAAGAAAATCTCATTCTCTCGCAGTGTGTAAAAGAACTGGGTGCTCTCGTAGCTCCCGGTGCGAGTATCATCAACGCATTCCCGTTTCTCAATATCCTTCCGGGACCGATGCCATGGCGTACGCGCGCTGCCGCATTCCGCAAGCGTGAGGATGCACTATACGACAAGCTCGTTACGGAGGCCGTGTCCGGGAAGGCTTCGGGGATGAACACGTACGATTCCAATTTCTTTTCTTTTCCTTCCGATTTACAACTGAATGCAGATGGGCTGCCATCTTTACGAGTGAAGACAAACCGGAGGGCGACCAGCGCCGTTTGTTGAACATCTTCGCCAGCGTGCGTCAATCCACCCCGTCTTTACACGGTGTGCACCCACTCACTCATCTCACGGCCAGGCTGCCATCGAAACGGTACGTCTCCACATACAGATCTGTTCTCTTCCGCTCACCTGCGTAAACCCAGACCTCGTCGACCATGCAAACCTTCGTTCTCGCCTGCGTTCTCGCGAGCTCCTCTCCCTCATCCGCGTCCTGGGTCTCCCGCGCGCAGAAGGAACTCGATACGGTGGTGGGTGCGGACCGGCTCCCGACGTTCAAGGATCGGCCGTTCCTGCCTTTTATCGAGGCTGTTATGCGGGGTGCGTGTGATTTCCTCTTCTCGGTTCGAGGAAATCTCATGGGTCCGTTCTGTCATGTAGAAACTCTTCGTTGGCGTCCGTCCGGTATGCATGCATATGATTCTTCCTTTGTATCACTCCCCTTGACATCGATATCGCTGACCCAGTCCGCTTCGTGCTGCCACACAACTCCACTGCGGACGAAATCGTGGAATACAACGGGAAAGAGTATTTCATACAAAAGGGGACCGTCGTCTTTGCTGTCACCTGGTGGGTTTTCTCTTTCGAGTTTTTCTTTTAGCAGGAAAGGATGGCTGATTTGGATCAAGGGCAATCGAACACGCCCAAGACCTCGAAAATCGAGATACGTTCAACCCCGAACGGTTCCTTGACGCCGATGGGCAGCTCAAGGCGGGGTACGAGACTGCTGCGTTTGGATTCGGTCGGAGAGGTCCGGAATGCCTCTCCTCCTCGATTCGATTTGAACTCACACGTGCACGTAGCATGCCCCGGGATGCCCTTCGCCGAACGCTCTCTCTGGATCACCATCGCACTCATCCTCTGGAGTTTCAACATCCGCAAGTCGCTCAAACCCGACCCGAAGACAGGGTTGCCGTTTAGCTACAGTGCGCAGGATGAGGCGTTTCATGGGGATGTACGTTGACATTTTCTTCCTTGACGTTTTTTGTCTGAGGGCGCTGACGAACCTGATGTAGCTCTCAAACGGCCCCATTGAATTCCCCGCCGTCTTTGAACCGCGGTCGGAGCACCATCCGGAGGTGGTGAGGCAAGAGTGGGAGAACTGTGAGAAGGATTTGAATGTTTTGTTGCCGCAGCATAAGAGGAGATGATGAGGATGGCGTGCAGAGTGCTTTAGAAAATATATATTCTCTGAGAAATGCCCAAGTGATTCGTTGCACGTACAGCTTCTGTACCCTTTCTGTTCCACGGCTGTGTGGCTAGCCAGTTGCAATTGGTTATGAACGTTCTGCGAGGGCGAGGCTCGAGCGTTCTTCCGGGTGGATTGCATCGTCAGCCTTCCGTCGGATCAAGGAACTTGGGCGGTTAAGATTTTTCAAAAAGCCCCGACAAGAATCGAACTTGCAATCTCCACCTCCCCAAACTCCTAACGAAATGTGGACTGGCGACATCGTACCATTAGACTACAGGGCGTTCAAACGACAGATTGATCGGCCTGATCCCAGTCGATTCTCTTCCCAGTCCTTAAAAGTTACTTGGCGGCGCAATATGATTGCGATTGCCGCTGCGAGCGAGGCGAAGCAACGAGGCGGAGGGCGATCTGACATCCCTGGATGCATCATCCGTCCCGTACTTCAATGCGATGCGAGGAATACGGTGGCTTCGTTTTACTCAACCTTGAAAGGCTGTGTGAGTCTCGCGTCCCTCTCTCGCTCGAAAGTGGTCATGATAAAGCTGCACTTTGACCCGCGCAAATCTACTGGATAGCAGTCTCCAGCCACACGCACTTTATCGCACGCAACATGAGTTTTCCGACGAGCCCAGCCGCTGCTTCGCCCCGGATGTGATATCACATCGAAGGCATATTCGGCGTACAAGGCGAAATCCACTGCAGGGTTCACGAGTTGAATGACTCACGACTACAGTCCACTTTGGCTTCCCATTTCAAGCATCGGCACCTCGGTCTCTTCATCATCGTCCTTATCCATATCCCACACCAACCACCCCGCTGCAAAGATGACCCCAGCGATGAGCGCCGCGCCGCCGGTGGTGCCGATCCGTGCGAGGATATCGACGGCCTTGGAGTCCAGGTTCTGAAATGCGAGTGCCGTGATGGCGGCGTAGAAGCAGAGCATTGCGCCGATTGCGAAGAATGTAGGCAACGCGAGGATAGCGAGGAGGATTAGAGGCCTACGGGCTATTCTCTTGGGGAACTCGTCAATCACCCCCCTTGAAGTAGAGGCACAAGACTTACGACGATGGAACTTGGCGGGGCGTCCTGCACGACGAAACTAAGCCCCGTACCAAAAGTGATGGCTACCAGAGAGCAAGACAAGGACGCCAGCGCCATGAGGTAGCTCCCGCCTGCGACCTTGTCGCTGAACACGGCCGAGGCGGCGGCGCCCATGACGAGTCCCGTCGTTATCATGACCGTCTGCCACCTCTGGATGAGATTACTGCGGAATTGGAGCCAGGCATCGTCGTCGTTGGCGCGGAGCTGGGCTGCGAGACGCGCAGGGCGCAGTCCGATGAGGATGAGTAGGACGAGGGTCAGGAGGAGGTTGGGGTTGGAGTGCAGGTGGGATTCGAGGCGGTCGAGGTGCTTCTGTTCGGAGCCTGCTCTATCCTCTGGGCCAGCCATGATGGATGGGAGAGAGAAAGATTGATAGGCGTAACCATCATTTTGCTGTGTTCAAAAAGTTGTTGACTGTCAATCAGAAATGCTGTACCGAATGCTTACCTCACCTTCCCATGCTCCGACCACCACCACGGAACTTCTACTTATTTCTCTGTGGGCGTAAACATAGAGCCATGCACGCGTGGAGCACGGAAAAATGAGCGGGTAGGAAGAAGCAGCGGGAACCCTGGGTGAGTTTCGATCCATTCCTGTTTCTGTCTATTTCAAGGAGCGGAATTAGCTGAATGCACCAGGCTACATCCGCGCTGAATGGCACGCCACGAACCAGGTAGACCATTCATCTGACCGCGGGTCCGACGTTACATGACACTGGGCCTCAGTGTAAGCAGCACCGACTGTCCGTCGGCGGATACATCGTGCACTGCGAAAGGGCTCCTCGGTGTGTCCACTAGGCTTCTCTGAATTCACTTGGACGTTAAATTTGTGTAGCGCATCTGTCTTTCCTTTTTGAGCGGCAATCCCACCGAATCCACACAGTACAGCTACTCGGATTTGGTCCGCATCGTGTACTTGTCATTATACGCCGCGACATGTCACCGGTCACTCCGAGTCCGTTCGACTATATAACCCACGCAATCTATGGAAAAGGCACCCTCCATGCCTTCGTACCCACCCCCAGAAATTTGGCGAGCAATATTACGGTTTGCGACAGCTCCTGAGACCCCGCGGCACGTCGACTACACCCCATTTGAACAGCTCCAAGAATTCCAAGAGACGGCGTATGCTGTCCAGCAGGAATTCTCGAGACTCAAGACGTGTGTCTCTCTCGTCAGCGTCTCACGCCGATTTCGCGCGATGGCCGCCGAGTTTCTGTACGAAGATGTGCGGATATCCGAAGCACGAGGTTTGGAGAGTCTTCTCCTGGGCCTCATGCGGTCTGCTGCCGAAGGAGGGCCGGACCACTACGGCATGTTTGTCAAGCGTCTCGAGCTTCCTCGGCGGCGCACACACATCTTCTTACAGCCCGACACGCAACCCATTGCTATCCCCGCACCCTCCAACGTCCCAGGACTCGCCGAGCTTCTGGCGCTATGCCCCAATCTCGAGGTCTTTGTGCGCCCGTGCTTACGACTCGACGCAGCTAGCGTCGCATTCTGGTCCACACTCGTCGCCAACCCTTGTACGAGCACGCTTTCGCGCCTTCGCCGCCTCGAGTGGCACGAAAGCGACATTGATTCGCGGCTCTACGGCACCGCACATATCGCCCGTCTACGCGAGATGGTCATCTGCGCACCCAATCTGCGATACCTTGCCCTCTCCTCGGACCGCACCAATGCTCTTACGGACCTCGCCCTCCCCGCGTCCCTGTCCACAGTGCGGTTCAACTGCTCGTACTACCACGCGCAGCCCCGACGCACGTCGCTATTTTGCCGCATGCCATCATACACCCCGCATCTCCAGCACCTCGTCCTGCACACTACTCTCCCGCCCACCCAGCTCGACCTCCTCACCACCACCGCCGCGCTCTCCCTCCGAGTGCTTGAATTCGCGTTTGCACCACAGATGGTGCTCTCCGCCAATATGATGCGCCGGATACTCGGTCGTTTTCCGGGGCTTGAGGAGCTCGTGTATACGCTGGGCGCGCCCGAGATTGCCGTCTTACCACCAGCTACGTACGCTTCGGTACGCCGCGTACGGCTTAAGTTGGATCCGGACGAGTGGATTCCGTCGCGGCCTGTGCTGAGGGGACAGGTAGACGCACTTGCGGGGCCGGCGTTTCCATGTCTTGAGCAAGTGGTGCTGCATGATGAGAAGAGGTGGGCGGTGAAGAGGGAGATGGGGAGAGAGATGGTTAGGAGGTTTTTGGGCAGGGGGTGTAGGGTTGTGTATGACGACGGGGAGTCTGTCGTGTTGCCGAGTGCGTAGACTTTGCATACGCGGTTCCTGGTGGCAACGCCGCCCGAACAGCACACGCTCGTCGGGCCTTCAGCATCCATCCGCTGGAATCGCGCGACTTATTCTTGCGTCGTACTTGTAACCCTCGGGCTTGTCCCGTTACGTTCGTCCATGTTTGTATAGACGCACGATTTGGTTAATAATATTATTCATTTTTTTTCCCAGCCCGAGGCTCCGAGATTGGATTGTTAACTTTTTCCGACCACAAACAAATCCGAATCAAAAAGCTACAAGACGGCCCGCGAAATTAGGTCTAAGGTACGCCTTCCTCTAGTTACTGTCCATTTCAATCGTGATCGTCCGCACCCTTAAGCTTGTTAGCTCAGGCAAGGCGAGCTTGCGAGCCGCCTGAGTGGTAGACAAGCTAGCTAGCCGGATACCTGTACCTTTTCGGGCGTGTGATAAGGTTCTGATTAGAGGGTATTTGCAGCTCGGATTTCCTGAAATCTCAGAAAATGTTAGCCGGGTCTCAGAAAATGATGGTGTGGAGCAAGTGCAAAGAGGTGTTTGCGTACTGCGCGGTATGTTCAGAAATTGGCCACTCCTTGCCCAAAAGCACTCAATCTTGTGTGGGTTCCCGCTGGTGAGAGCCCTGGAGACTTTTTGCGTCCTAAACTGTAGCTCAGAGCCCGTCCACATCCATTCCGCACACACTTTACGACACATGCTCAGAAAATGATCGGGTGGAGCTCCCCAATCCCAGCAAAATGTTAGCCGAGTTTCAAGGAGATCAAAACGACGATTTGGCGGGGTGCAAATAGCCTCTATTGTCGCGCGATCACTCACGTATCTATTTCGCTTCATCACTCTCGCTTTCGCTCTCGCCGCCACGTCGACATCCCTCATAGTCCCTCTCATCCTCGACACGCAAATTTTTCCATGTCCACTTCAAAGTCGGGCCGTCTCCTTCCCCTTCCCGCCGATTTCGACTGCGTTGCGTGGTCCACACGTCCAGCAGACCGCGATCCTCCTGCCAGCATGGAGATTGAAGACAAGAACGCTGCCAATATCATCATCGAGCAGCACAACAAGACCAGTATCATGGCTACTACTATGCGCTACCGCCCGCGAGAGTTCTACTGGTATAGGGACTATGGATGTGGGGTATCCGCTCGGGCCTCTTTGGGTTTACTCCGAGCAGGAAAGGCTGCCTCTTTTCCACGCGGCGGAGCTGGTTCAGGCAGTGGGTCCTCTGCCTATCTCGCTCATGATCACGAAGATGTAGCCGAGCTCCGAGTTGCTGCTGCCTTGGAACGCGAAAAGGACGCGCCGAAAAGGCCATTGTTGACAAGGCCAAGTCTTTGCAGCCTCTGCTCGGTTCCATGGCCTTCAGCAGCCCCCACGAGGTCTCTCCTCTCCTCAAGCAGCCTGTCGTCATCCCTCCCATCTTCCTCGTGTCTCTTCGCCACCTCGTCCATTTCCCTCTCCATTTCTGGGCCACCAAAAGCCTTCGCGTGGCCGCTAGGTACTTCTCCCCACGCCATAATCAAGGAATTCACCCGCGCAGAGCAATCTGCGTCGTATACCCTTTCCGAAAGCGTCCAGGTTGTCGATGTCATCAAATCGGCCAAACTGCCGGATTCAACGCGCTCGATGGAAATCGAGGTGTGCACTTGATCAAGCACGTCGGTGAATAAACGAACCTTGAGGACATGGAGAATATCTGTGAACAGGCCGACTTTCGAGTCAAGATGAACTCGTATGAAAGCCAAGGTACAACAGCCAGCGCACGTCGCGACGAGAATACAAGAGGCACGCACGAAAGGAATGGTCTCTCCGGCGCTTTTAGAAGCACATACCTTCAAATATACATCCTGTGAACGTGCAGCCAATCATTGTACAATTCACGACGTTCAAGGTGCTCCCTTTCTTTCTCGCT